GGGGAAGAGGAGGAGGAAAGGGAAGAGAAAAGGAAGGAAGAAGACGGAGGAAGAAAGTGGTGCAGAGGGCTGGGGCAGGGCACTTGCGTACCAAGTTCAAGTCTGACCCCAGAACCTAAAATGAAAAGCATGATCCAGAAAACTCTGGGTGAAAGGCCAAAGTATAAATATCTTTTTGTTGTTACTACTTAACTTCCTAAGATAATGCATGAGAGTAGTCAAAAAGGAGTACACAAAGGTGCGTGGCCCTGTGCAATAAAACTTCATTTACATAAACCAGTGGATTTAGCATAAGCACCACAGTTTACTGACCCCTTTTTGAAGGAAAAAAAAGACTTGGACTAGATGGAACTGACACAGTGGGGCGGGAGGTTCGTGAAGGGCAGGCAGTCTATACTCAACACACAGGAAAATAACAAGCTTACCCCTGCTGGAGAGGAGTGCAGAACACAGGAAAGCCAGCCACAAGTGAAAATGCCTTCCATGGGCAAGGACCCAGAGTTTCAAACCTAGAGTGGTCCCTAAGGCCAGGCTGTGTTCAGACACAAGCAGGCATCCTATGGAGACCACCAGACAAGACAGCAAGAGTGTGACAGTATGTCCCTGAAGCAGGACGGCAGAATTGGAGGTCCAAAGTGAAAAATGGAGTTTAGAGCACACTGAGTGTTTGTAGGCTAAAGAGAGAAGGGCTACAGGGTGATGGAAGGTTCTAGAACAAGAAGAGGAGGAGAAAGCAAGACCTCTACAGGCAAGTGTCATGATTTTTCATTGTTGCAACTTAGATACAGCCAGATGCCACTGGCATTAAGCTAGCAGAGACCATAAATGCTTTAGCAGAGATAGGACAGCCCCTACAATCCAGAATGAGCCCACCCCAAGTGTTGAAGCTTGCTTGGGGTCTGGCAAGGTGGCTCAGCAGGTGTAAAACACTTGCCATGCAAGTGTTTGATCCCTGGAACACATGTAAGGAAATAACTGACTCCACGAGGTTGTCCTCTGACCTCCACATACATGCCCTGACACATATGAGCATACACAAGCACACATGTGCACACAACATGCACTCAGGCAGGCATACAAATACAAAATAAAATAATTTGAAATTTAATTTAAAACTAGGATAATAATTATAATATAATAGTAGTTATAAAAAATAAATAAGTTGGAAAGCAACTTAGAAAGCTACCTGGTATTGGCCTCATACATGTACACTCACCCACATGAACACGGATACACACACACACACACACACACACACACACACACGACCCATAGAAGGCACATGCCCATGCCTCCAAAAGTCAACCCATGGATACCCCTAATGCTCAGAAGTTCCAATTGTCACCACTGCACACCGCCTTGTCTTCTAACTTCACAATGCTCAGAGGGCTATCTCAGTCCAGAGCTAGCCTGATCAAGAGAGAATCGGAAGATCTATTCACTGCTTAGCTCAGCCCAGCTACCAAAACCCCACTGAAAGATGAGTACCCCACACTTAGGAACACTTCCACAAAAAAGACCCATTCCTCTCTTAAACATCACGTAGGTCTTCACCCCACTCCCACCCCCATCCAAAGCAAAAGCACCCTGTTGGTGGACCGTACAGATCCATGTTCTAGAAAGTTCCTCGCCCCCACACCAAGAGGCATCACAACTCATTTATTTGGCAGAATTTTGTTAACGATTACCCCAAAGCAGGGGCGGGAGCTTCCAATCCCAAAGAGCAAGTGTTTGTTAAGAAATCCAGTACATGGACAAGCAAGATGGGTAATAGTGCTCACTGCCAAGCCTCGTGGCCTGTGTCCAATCTCCAGGACCCACAGTGGAAAGAGAGGCCCAACTCCTGAAAGCTGTCTTCTGACCCCCACACTCAAGCTGTGGCATATGCAGGCTGACACACACACACACAATTATAATAAATAAAATTAAGTTTCAAAAATAAGCAAACAAAAGAGCTGGACATAATAGTGTGTGACTTTAATCTCAGCACTTTGGGTGCAGAAGCAGGAAGGTCTCTGAGTTAGCCTGGTCTACATAGGGAGTTCAAGACTACATAGTAAGACCCTGTCTCAAGATGACTAATTAATTAGTTAGTTAATTTAATTAAAAAATAAGGAAACAAAGAAACCCAGGAGGCAGGCAGAGAAATGCCATCCTAGCCAAGTAGCCAGTCCACAGCCCTTTTGGGGCCTGTCCTTTCTTCTCAGGCAGAACAGGTGGCTGTTGCCTTGAAGGCACATGACAAGGACTCAATGAGATCATATTTCCAAAGTGTGGGGATTTTCCAGAAAACAAGGATTTTTGTTATTCTTGTTGTTTGAGACAGGGTCTCCTGGTGACCAGGCTGGCCTCAAACTCTCTGGGCAGCCCAGCATGACCTTGAACTCCAGGGTCCTCCTGCCTCCACCTTCAGAGTCCTGTGACGGCAGGTGTACGACCCCACACCTGGTTTATTCCAGTCTAGGAATGAAACTCAGGGGCTTCACGCATGCTTGGGAAGCAATGAACTAAAGGAGCCACACACCCAGCCAGCGAGTGCCTTAAACGTTACACATGTACTACATAGACTCCAGTGTCTTGGCTACCTGTATGCCATTATGGAACAAGTATTTATATGCACCTAATATGCACTAGGCACTGCTCAAGTCCTAACATCAGTGAGGAAGAAATACAAGGCCCTGTTCTTGTGAACACTGCATGTGTACAACATCACAGAAGCTCCATTTCGTCAGCACAGGATGTCCAGGCACAGACGAACAATTAATTACCAAAAAAATCAAAAATAGAATTCAAAGAACCACACTTGTTTCTTTCTTCCTTCCTTCCTTCCTTCCTTCCTTCCTTCCTTCCTTCCTTCCTTTCTTTCTTTCTTACTTTTTCTGGTTTTTCGAGACAGGGTTTCTCTGTATTGCTTTAGAGCCTTCCTGGATCTCGCTCTTCAGACCAGGCTGGCTTCAAACTCACAGAGATCCTCCTGCCTCTGCCTCAGGAGTGCTGAGATTAAAGGCGTGCACCACCAACGCCTGGCAAAGAATCAAATTGTGTGCCCAAGTGCACAGTTACACAAAATAACCCTAATTCCTTAAGGTGATCCCAGGGAACCCCAGGGAGCTGGATAGGCGATCCCAGGAGCCTGGGGGAGCAGCATAGGTGACCCCAGGAGCCCCAAAGACCAGAACAGGTGACCCCAGAAGTTCCAGGGAGCAGGACAGGTGACCCAAGGAGCCTCAGAGAGCAGCACAGCATGTGTGTTAACAACTCTGGGACTGGGGAGATTGCTCAGTGGGGGAAAGCACTTGCTGCAAGCATAAGGACTGGAGTTCAAATCCCCAACACCTAAATAGAAACCAACACTTCAACACACATCTGTAGCCCTAGTGATAAGAGGAGAAAACAGGAGAAGCCTGAGGCTCACTGGCTAGTCAGCATAGCCAAATCAGCAAACTCTAGGTTCACTGAGAGACCCTGTCTCAAAACACGAGGCTGAGAGTGGCAGAGGCAACTGGTGTCAACCTAGGGCCTCTGCAAACACACACAGGCACATTTATGTGCGTACACACACACACACACACACACACACACACACACACACACCCCAAACCAATGGCCACTCTTCTGTGTACTAGATCCTCAGGGCCTCAAAGATATTATTGGGTTAGCAGACACACTCAACAAACTCAGTCCAATCTATTCAAGAATGCTGCACACACACACACACACACACACACACACACACACACACATTCCTCACTCACAAACTGCAGTTCCTTCCCTCCTTGACCCCAAATGAACTGCAGTTTCTTCCTTCCTTGATCCCTTCCTCATTGTAATTAATTTCCTTCTGCCATGAAATCTGAACCAGTAACTCAGAAGATATTTTTCATTGCATGTTTTTTGAAACAGGGTCTAACATAGCCCAGGCTTGCCTCAAACTCAATATCTGGACTAGCCTTACACTCACCATCCCCCTGCCTTGGCCACAACCTGGCACAGAAAGGTATAAGGACAGCCTCAGGACAAGTGAAGTTACACACCCTAAACATGCCTCAATTTAGCTGTCTCTGAAATGGGTATGGAACAGTTTTGGACTCCAGGGCACATTGGGAGGTTCTAGAGAAATAAGCTAACCTGCCTGGAGGCTCATAATTATTTTAATTACAACCATTCAGAAAGATGCCCCTACTGTGACTATGATTGCTGCAGGGCCAAAGGTATGTAGACTTTGCCTCTAAACATCTGGAAACAGAGAATTATAAACATAGCAGCCATTATCTTACACACAGGGGTCGATTCTTCAACAAGTGTCCTTTGGCTTTAAACTCTTCAGGTGTTTTGCTGCCTGAATCTATTGCAACCCAGTAACCCTACTCTCTTAAGGCGACCCCAAAGAGCATGGGGGGGCAGATTTGGGTTTAAAAAAAAGAACAAGATAATGGTTGAGAGGTGCAATGGGGACAGACACCCAAAGGCTGGGCGGGCACTAGGGCAAGGTTCCTCAGACCCGAGCTGGGCACACGCGGGGTGCAGAGCCACAAGTCCAGCGGGCAAAGGCCAAGGTCAGCTGGCTTCGTGCAGGGCCAGGGCCACCAAAACCACTATTACCCCTTCCCCAGGGGAAAGATCATCAGATTTGAGGGAGGGGACTCTATATAGACTAAGAGTATCCTCAACCCTCAGTCCTTGGGGAGGGAGCTCTAGGTTGGCCGAGGAAAAAAAAAAAGGAGGTGGGGGATCCACAACCCTCAATCTTTAATGAGAACACTATATTGCTGGGATGGTGAGATGGGTGTCTGTAACCCTGGGTCCTTAGGGTGGAGGGGCGGCTCTAAGTTGCATGGGGCGATGGGAGGGGTGTCCCCAACACTCAGTCAAAAAGGAGAGTTCTCTATGTTGGCTGAGGCGGTGGGGAGGGGTATCCCTGACTCAGGATGGGGGCTCTAGGATGGCTGGGGCGATGGGTGTCCCCGACACACGGTGATTCCCCCTCACCCCAGACTTACCCTCTCCGGGGTACAGGTGGCCGGCTGCGCCCACCAGCAACGCGGCCACAGCCACCAGCAACGGCGCGGCCGTCGTCTCCCGTCGTCTCCCGGAGCCCATAGCTGTAGGAGCGCAGGGACCCCGGCGATCAAAGAACACCACGCCGGCCCGCTAGGGACATAGCCCGCGAGGAGGTCGCCGGAGAGGCACTAGGGGCCGCGCGTGCTTCTCTTCTACGCCGGTGGCTCGCGGGCCGCAGCTCTCCAACCGAGAGGGACCTGGGGGGCAGTCCCGGGAAGAATGCAGTGGCCTCGGCTTCAACCAACGCGGTGGCGGGGCCCGCAGACTACGGCCCCGGGTCACCCAGGCCCAGTCCCGAGCCTGCAATCGCAAGGTCTAGGGCTCACGGCTGTGCGCCCCCTTCCCAGGCCTCCTGTTTTTCTGCCCAGTGCCGCTCTGGGTGGGTCGCGTTCTGTGGAGTCTGAGACAGAGGGACGCGCGAACCGGTGGGCACCTGGGCTGGTGGCGGCGGAGGCGGCGGCGGCGGCGGGAGCGAGGACTCGGCTCTGGACCGTAAACAACGCGGCCCGTCAGCTGGGCCCCGCGCGGACCGAGGGAAAAGGTGGCGCGGATTGAAGCTGGGAAGGGACTGTGCGCTCAAGTGAGGCCCGCGGAGGGGACAAGCTAGCAGAGCGCAGGGAGGCGTGGCCAGAGCTTGCAATGCCACGCCTCCTAGCCTCCTCGTGTGGAGCCCCCAACTTTGGAGGCCCTGGCGCACCCCAGATTCTCCCAACTCCGACACCCCAGAATACCTATTTTAAAAGGTTACGATTTAAAAGCTTGAAAGTGTCCCCAGATACCAGTCTGACATGAGCACCCAAAACAACAACAGATCTCGGGAGCTGCCCACCTCCGCGCCTGACTCGAACGCCCCCAAATAGCCCCGAGGTCCCAATTTAAAAACCTGGGGCACCCCAGATCCTCGCCTGACTCGAACACCACTAAAGAAGCCTGGGATTCCAATTTAAAAGCTAGGAACGCCCCAGATCCCCTCCTGACCGCAACAAACTCAAATAACACCAAGGTTCCAATTTAAAGGTCCGGAGCGCGCTCCAGTTATCCACCTGATCCGGACACCCCAAACAGCCCCGAAATAACAATTTAAAGCCTGGAAACGCCCCCAGGCCCCTCCGGACACGAACGCCCCAAACAGCTTCAAGACCCCAATGTCAGAACATAGGGATCTTTCTCTAACACCAAATAGCCCTGAGACTCCGATCGCAACATGGGAGCCCCCAAAATGCCCCCAGAAGCAAGGCTCAACCAAACAGACCCTGTGTTTGCACTTTTTACTATTTTTGTCTCCTATAGGGAAGTCACTTTAATTCTTTACTCTTGACTTTTTTTTTCAGCCTCTACAACTAATGCCTTAATGGATTCCCCCAATCGGGGATCTATCTGTCTAGGAGCTAATGGAAGCCCCACAAGTTCCCTCCCAGTAAGATCCCGCCCAGCAGCGTGGCCCACACCAGCTTCCAGGCCACAGCCACGTGTCTACAATACTGGCTGCCTGTGTTCCCTGGCCTGAGCCCCTCTCCGCAACACTGGATTCCAAGGGAAATCAATAAAGAAGTGACTCCTAGAAGAACATAACAAGGCTTCTAGGAAAACGATGAAACTTCATATAGGACTCGGGTAGACATGTTCCACTTTGAATGCACATACCAAAAGGTGGCTGTATAAATGTCTAAAACAGTCATTTGCTAACAGTCCTGCTCAACCACCTTCGCTGAAGATCTAGCCCTGTCTGGACCTTATAAATATGTGAAGCCCTGTATCCTTCACTTCCCGTGTCCGTTCAGGCAGATTACCACCATATCTGTGGCTGCTTGGTCTATGCAATGGGTTTGGCAATATCTGTAAAAATAAAAATAAAATAGCAAGCAATAGAAAAAGACACTCAAGATCAACCTTTGGCCTACACACACACACACACACACAGAGAGAGAGAAAGAGAGAGAGAGAGAGAGAGAGAGAGAGAGAGAGAGAGAGAGGGAGAGGGAGAGGGGGAGAGAGGGAGGGAGAGAGAGAGGGAGCGAGGGAGAGAGAGAGAGAGAGAGAGGGAGAGAGGGAGAGAGAGAGAGAGAGGGAGAGAGAGAGGGAGCGAGACAGAGACAACCCTATGGAGGCAGGTCCTTAACCTCAGAAGGCAGAGGCAGGAAGATCAGGAGTTTGAATTTAGTCTAAACACATGAGATCCTGTCTTAAAAAATAAATAAATAAAACTAAACAGTGGGGCTGACAAGATGGCTCAGCAGATAAAGGCACTTGTTGCCAAGCCGGAAGACCTGAGTTCAATCCTAATGTCCCACAGTAGGGGAGAGAGAGAGAGAGAGAGAGAGAGAGAGAGAGAGAGAGAGAGAGAGAGAATAAATACACAAATAAATAAATAAATAAATAAATAAATAAACCTAGGACTGTGACTCTTTGGTAGAGCATTTGCCCAGCACACATGAGGCTGGAGGCGCTGAAACTAGTGTTCTTACATTATGAAAATGTGCTCCTGCCTTAAAGCAGCCTCACCACAACCTTGCTCCCACTGTCACTCCTTCTCACTGAGTCTTTGCCCCAATGAGCTTCCTACCCTGACCACAATTTGCAAACCCCCTTTAGTCCCTATGTTCCCTTCCCCGGTCCTTTCCATCATGTGTGTATCCCTCCCTGAAATTTTTATTTACTATCTTGTCTGTCATCGCTTATCAGTTGGCCCACCCCCACCCCATGCTTGACATATCTATTGGCTAATAAATATTTGTTCAGTGGAAGAATCAGCATGCCACTTGTAGTAATGGATTCCCAGTACCCAAGATCACCACAGTGTGTTTCCTTGTAGAGTGGGCATGTGTGCCCTGTGTTACACGGTGAGGTAGGGAGTAGATAGAGAAGCATCTGTGGAGGAAATCATTGGAAGCTGTGAGCTGAAGAGAAGGATGCCAGCCAAGAGAAGCTGGGAGAAAATGTCCCCATGGAGTGAAGGGCTTGTGCAGCAGCCATGGGGCTTTCGGGTGCTGTGGGTACAGAAAGGGAAGAGGGGAACCTGATGCCATGGGTGGGAAAGAGAAGGTGCTCAAATGTCACATCAATATGTGCTTGACGTGTGTGCTCATGTGTGCATGTGTACATCTGTGAAGGTAGCATGTGTGGGCATGCATGTGCAAGCACACCTGTGCTTGTAGAGGTCAGAGGTCAGAATCAGGTGTCTCCCTAGATCAGGCTACAACCTATTTGTTTTGTTTTGTTTTGTTTTTGTTTTTGTTTTTTCGAGACAGGGTTTCTCTGTGGCTTTGGAGGCTGTCCTGGAACTAGCTCTTGTAGACCAGGCTGGTCTGGAACTCACAGAGCTCCACCTGCCTCTGCCTCCCAGGGGTTGTGACTAAAGGCATGCACCACAATGTCCAACCTTAATTTTATTGGCAGAGTTAGGCAAGAGCATGAGCAGATGCCCACAGAGGTTAGAAGAGGGAGTTGTGTCCCCTGGAGTCAGGAGCCAAGAAGATGGCTCAGTGGGTGGAGGCATTTACCACCAAGCCGGGCAGCTTGAACTCAGTCCTCAGAACCCACAAAGAGCTGACTGAAAAGAGCTGACTCCTACAAGTTGTCCTCTGACCAACACACACACACACATACACACACTACACACACACACACACTAATTAACACTAACACCAGGTGGGCACCAAAAGCTGAAAGCTGTACACTAGGAGTATGAGCCAATGCTTTACAGAGACAACAGACTGCAGATGGCTTGACATTAGCCAGTGAGGACTCTGTGGTATAGATCACCAGCCATATGGATCTTTGACAGTCTTAGACCCTGAATGATCATCTAGCTTAACTTCTGCCCCTGACCCAAGATAAACTTTAAAGAATAAGTCATTATTAGAACATCTCTGGCTTCCACCCACCCTAAGACTAAGAATACTGTACACTCTCTCATACCCAAAGAGATTTCATGTTTTTTGGGGGGGCCTTATTATCTAGTTACCATCTATGTAATTGGCACACACAGTAACTGGCAGCTTGTTTCTCTCTATGCCTGCATAAAAGGTCATGCGCAGCAGCAGAGATGGCTCAATTGGTAAAGGCTGGCAGAATAAATATGTGAACCTCAGTTTTGGATCCCTATCACCTACAGAAGCATGGAGGAAGTCAAATGGCCATCTATTGTTCAACAGAGTACCCATCTATCATCCTAACATTTCTGCAAGGAGATGCGAAGTGGGGGCTGGAAAATCACTCAGAAGCACAAAGGACAGCTGACCTAGCATCTTCAGTGGCAAACAAGAAACTCAGTCTCAAATATGGTGGGAGGTGAGGATCAACACCAGAGGTTGTCTTCACCTCCACATATGTACAGTGGCACACATGGCCACTCTTCTGTGGTTCATAACAAACTATTTCCTTATTTACTTTCAGAGTCATTACTTTGGGCCAGAGCTGGAGCTCAGGTGGCAGAGCGACTGCGGAGCATGCAGGAAACCCAGGATCCTATCCTAGCAACTCTACCCCAGGGGGTGGGGTGCACACTGCTGATAACAGTACTGAGGAGGTAGCAGCAGCAGCAGGGTCAGGAGTTCAAGGTTATCCTTCACCAGACAGCCAGTCTGAGGCCAAGACTCTCAACATAACAAGAGAGCTGAGCCTGGTGACTTGTCATCCCAGCTACTGAGGAAGTTGAGGCAGGAGGATTGAAGCTCAGGGACCGTCTGGGCTTCAAACCAAGTGCAAAGCCAACATGGGTAACTTAGTGAAGACCTATTTGAAAAGAAAAAGCGAAAGGAGAGCTGGGAGTGTGGCTCAGTGGTTAGACAGTCATCTAACCCTTGGTTCAGTCACTGAAATGGAAGGAGCGCATTAGCATCTTGTAATCTCCTCATAGGTGACTGATTCAGGCAAGAGCTGTCTGTGAGGGCTAACAGAGCAACTGCATCATCCTTGAACCTCTGTCTGCAACATGCAATCAATGACCTGGCTTTGGGCTGAGAGATGCATCATTGGGAAGTTTTTGTCCTTGTGCAAACGTCACAGTGTGTGTTTGCACAAGCCCAGATAGCCTTGACTGTATGGTGCAGCATGTCATTACTAGGCTACAAACTTCAAAACACTCAACACCAAACATT